ACTTCACTTTCTCCACACCTCTTGGGTGCTCAGTACAGAGCTGGGAGCTGAAGGGAGAGTAAGAAACAATATAACCCTACCCCAAGGAAATCAGCAGCCGCAATGGTATGTGAAGAGAGGTGAGCTGTGGGGACCTGTGGAGGCAGGGAGTGGAAGTGACTGCCAGGGAGGGGCATCCTGTGGAAGCCAGAGGAAGTTAGAAAAGGCATCAAAGAAGTGGGGTGTCTGACCTGGGTGCTGAGGGATGAGAAAGGGTTTACCAGGCAGACAGAAAAAGTGAGGGAGGAGAAGCGCTGCAGCCCAGAGGGTTGTTTGCAAGGTTGCTGGCAAGGGATGCTTGAAAGAACACATTAGCTGTAATTAGTTCAGTTTGGCAAGAGGACGAGGTGGACAAGCGTGAGAGGGCCAGAGACAGTTGTAGATATGGGTATGAGTCGGGTCACATGGCGCTTTGTCTGCCATCCCAAGAAGTCAGGACCCATCTTAGGAGTCTCCAAACCTTGTTGAATTGGAAAGACTTTGGTCAAACTGTGTAGCTGGCATCCCGGTTAAAGCGATGAATGTAAGTCAGGGTGTCACGGTGTACCTCACTGCTGGAGCATGCACCACTCACAAAGCCCTGGGTTCAAGAGCCAGCATCGAAATGGAACCACAAAGCATTTAATAGGATGTGGAAACTCTGTGCTTCCAGCCCTGGTCTCCCCTTAACCCTTCAGGTTCCCCACAAGCAGCTCCGAACACACTTGAAAGTAGGGGGACATGGTGTTGAGGCTTTGAAAGATAGTGCCTTACCAGGTGTGGTGGCTCATGGCTGTAACCCCAGAACTTTGGAACGTGAATACAAGGGGGTGGGGTGGGGGGTTGAAGCCAACTTCAGCTATGTGAGACTCCGCGAAGAAAGGGGAGAAGAGAGGAGAGGGAACGTGTAAGGAAAGGAAAAAGGAAAAGAGCACAAGGACGATGCTCTGATTGCAGGTGCCCAGCACACAGGTCCTCAACTCTGCATCCCTGGGCACGGATGTGAGAGGGTCAGAGCAGTGGCTTTGATGATTAGTGCTCTGGGTGTGGTAAGGTTTGGAGTCAAGGGCTACCCTCCACTTCACGGGTTAAAGATATTTTCAGAATACTCATATGCAGAGATAAGGAGGCACCTGGAAAGATGGGTGTGGCCCCTTTGCAAAGGTGAATGTGACCGTTATATACTTGGAAATTATTGACAGGTAAATGACAGTTGAAGCTGAGGACTTCAGTGAAGATGCCTGGGATTATACGGAACATGAAGAAAAAGCAGACAGAAGCCAGGGAGCCACTGTCAAAGAAGTAGTGGGAGAAGAGAAGCCAGGAAAGGAGGAGGAGAGAGTGAGCGAGTGAGAGAGAGAGAGACAGAGACAGAGACAGAGAGAGGCAGGAGAAGTGGGCGAAGGCTACACCTCAGAAACCAGGTAAAGAAACCAAAAATAAGCACAAGCTTAAACATGTAATTGGTATTTAATAATTGGTTACCTGGAAGGGGGAGGAGGTGAAGGCGTTTCAATGGCGTGGCACATTCCTTTCTTAAATAAATCCGAAGCACCCTTATTTTCCTGCAAATGTGTACCCTTTAACACCCAAGCATGGAGCAGCCTCACAAAGCAACAGCAGTGGAGTTCATGCTGTAAACAGTGTCTTTGTTGAGGACTGGAACTTCTCGCTCATCTCTCCAGGCATAAGTGAAGACCTGTTAATTTCTGTCCATCAGTCAAACTTTACATTCAATTGAGTGTTCATTCTGAGTTCTAAAAATGATTCTGTGGCTGAATGCTTAGAAAGTTGCACTTTGGTAAAGTGAAAATAATTTTTCTAAGGTAATGTGCTAATTTAAAATCTGTATTGTTTTTCTTGTTTTGATTTCCTTGCAGGCTAAATTATAAGGTATATATCTATCTGGTTGTACAAACATGCCCTGCTCCCCTGGGGACACTGAGGCAAGGTGCAGAGACTGGCAACCTGATAGGGCTCTGTAGATGTCTTCGAATGGATGGGTGGCATATTATCACCCTCCAAAACATTAATTCACATCCCAAAGTATCGATATTCAGTAAAATGAAAGACACTTTAAAACTCATAACTAATTCTGGATCAACACGACTTTCCCTCTTGCTCTTTCTGTGGGTGCTAGATTGGGCCAATGCGTGTCCTCTGCAATCACTTCCAAGAGCTGGTTTGCGTAAAAACGCCTTGGAGAAAATCTTTTCAAAAGAATAAGCAATAGAATGTGACCTTCAAATTCTCCATGACCAGTGGTTTTCTTTTGGGGGGGGGGTTAGATTATTTAGCATCTAGATTTAGTTTATTCTCTCAACAAATATTGACCGAGTTCCTACTGTCTACTAGGCGCCGAGGAAGTGCGGTGCATAGAGCTTTAGAAGACCCTGTTGTCATGGAGCGCACGGTCCATCCAGAGGAGACAGGCAATGGCAAACAAGGATGCAGCGTGTGTCTGTGATGATAAGTGCTAAGAAGAGAACTCCAGCTGCAGTGTGGAGGAGAGGCTGGCAAGGGGAAGGGGGGCTGCTTGCTTCTGTTCTGGATGTGTTTGTTAGCAATGGATGGTGAGCTGAGCCATAAGCAGAGGGAGGCAGAAAACACTCCTCAGCCTACCCACCCACTCCCAACCCACTAGTGAGTGCGATGTGGGGAGCACGCACCTTGTGAGTGCCAGCATCAACCCAGCCAAGAATCCTGTCACCCGGAAACGCTATGATAGGTAGCTTAGATCATAGCTGTAAAAATCAACTTCTCGATTGTAACTGTGTGGCAATCTTGGCAGGGCAAACAACTTCCACTATCCCAAACTCTAGACCAGCAACCGGCCCTTTGGAATGACTGGAATGACCGGCTCATAATCCCTCCTTTTTTTTCTCCTTAAAAAAAGACTGACTCACGCTCTCCTGCTGAGACCGTGTATTATATCTAGTTTCACATAAAAACGAATTTTTGCTGCTAAGTTTGAAAACTGCCTGAAAATAGCAATTAATATTGGAAAAGCTGACAGAACCCCGAGTATAGTGGCATGACTGGGGCCGCTGGAATCACGTGCCTGTGTGTGTAAATGTTGGTGTAAACACAATGTGAACACACACTTGCTGTCCAGAGCAGTATATTCATTCTCTTGCAGGTAGACGGGGTGGGGTGAGGATTCTTATAGCACGATTGAATAATATGGATCCCCCCACCCCCACCCCCGTCTTATGTCTGAATCGCCTTGCTTTTCAAATTATTTTTACATTCCCTTCATTTGAGCCTCACAGCTTGCTGGAAGGAAAAACAAACAAACAAGCCAAAAAGGCCATGCAGCTCGGTTCTTCCCATTAGATGGATGAGCAAACTCAGCGGGTTGGCCGTGGGTAGGGGGTGGACCGCAGGTTCTTGTGTGCAGGATCAGGGGATCAGACCACACCATCCCCAGCATCCTTCTAGCTCTCAGTTGGGTGCTGTGGTTCTGACTGTCCTACGAGGCCGCAGCTGTTGGATGGTGGGGATCCATGTTTGAGTCCAGGATTCTCTCTGCCCCACGGTTCCTCCTGGTTTTCAACCCCTCCACTGCTGGTTTACTCATCTGTAAAGTGTAATGTCGAATCTACAGGGCGGTGGAGAAGAGTGCCGAAGGGATTACGGGGAGGTTGAGAAGCAGCTAGCACAGTGGCAGCTGCCGTTGTCATTGTCATCACTGTGGCTAATAAAGAGACAAAGAAATAGAGAGAAAGGGTGTTCATGTTGGAGTCAGGATGGTGAACTTCTAGTCACATTTGGGTGGTGTCCCCTTGGCCAACTATCCAACTTTCTGAGCATCCCTGTGAAACGGGCCTGTGGATACTTCTATAGGTTGGAGACTAGAGGAGATGATGTGTTGATGGCGAGCCCATTGTCTCACACACTCCCATACCAACAGATGTCGGTGGGTATGGATGATGGCTTTCTGTCCTAAGAACCTGGAATAAGTCAGGCATGGTCACTACAGCCCCCAGGAAGTAAAGGCAGGAGGAACGCAAAAGCAGGGCTTTCCTGGACTACCATGACAAGACCCTGCCTCAAACAAACAAACAACAGCCAAAAAAACAGAACTGGACTATATCTCATAATTCCCTCAGAGCCTGCCTTGGCATTTGGATGAGAGCTCTAAGCATGGAATTAACAGAAGCATGTAGGTATTTGTTTTTGTTTAATGGGGAGAAAATAAGAGTTGGAAACCTGGTCATTTTGTGTCCAGGTCAGGGGAAGGGAGAGCCCACAGGGCATCCAGTTATTAGTACAGGGGCATTGTGAAGTGTCTTGTCACATTGGCCTTCTGAAGTCTAGTGGACATTTTATTCGGGTTCTCTCCAGGGCCACAGTCTTCTTCAGATTATGCGACCATTTGGAAACGCCTACCCACCTGCATGATACCATTGTCATCTGATGGCTGTAGAGTCGTCTTGTTACAATAGGGACTCTTCTAGGGGGTTTCACTCAAGATGGGAACCTACATTTTGGAACCTTGTCCCAGACCAGAAAAGTCACAGAGAAGACCAGGGACAAGACCGAAATGTGAGAACACTTGGCCCACTGATCTGTGATCTCTGATCTGTGTATAGGTATCGTCACGACGTGCGTGGAGCCGTGTTGGTAGGTGTGAAGGAGTCACAGACGATGGCAGCCACCCCGACTCTAATATCCATGACCTAAACCATTAGACCTGGTACGGGGTACCTTGTCCAGAACAGCAGCTCCTGGTCACGTGTCGTTTGTTACATGTATATTATCTGGAAATAATACAATATAACGTGGATATTTGAGTGTGAAATATTCTTTTCTTTATCTGCCCTTGAAATGCTTCTCCCTGTGTGTCCATCCCGCTTAAGTGTCTCCAGAACAGTCAAGCTTCCGTGCCTGAGAGGAGAGGACTGCTTCGACCTCATGTCTGTTGTGTTTGGTTGCCTTCCAGTTTTGAACTGTGTGAATTTCTTTTCTTAATGTTCTAGGGAAAAGCAATGGTATTCGCCCCATGTCGAGGGAATACACTCAACCAGTTTTGCAGCCTAGCTGAAAAAGCTGGTTTCTCGCTCCAAAGACATGAAAATTATGATGAACACATTTCAAACTTCCACTCCAAGGTTAGTTTTCTGCTTGTGCTAGATAACACTTTAATCCGCATTGCATTTTGAAGAGATCATGGTCCTTTTGGCAGGTAACCCAAATATTTGATTAAAGTACTCCTTAGGTGTGTTGCTTCCGACCGGCTACTTGTATCTGATTATTTCGTGTGGTAAAGCCATCTTTTATCTTTGCATGTCTGGGAGGATTTTACAGAAACCATTCCTGTTTACCCCTTTCTCTGAAACAAACTAATCTTGTTCATTCATAATGGACTAATTTGCAAGATGCAAGAGGAGGTGGCAGCTTCGCATGAATGACAAACATGCATTTGTGTTCTAATGAAAAACCCTTCGGCTTTTAAGTAGGTTAAATGCTTAGCCACACTGAAATAAATAGAAGGTGAGTGTCTAATTGTATCATGTTGGACTGTAAATCTTTATCTCGGCTTGCTTTATGGCTGGGTCAGTTGACAGTTTGAGACTGTTAAATCTCATACAGAATTTCACAGTTGCGAGGTTATATGTCAGAACGAGGCGCTACAAGATTTAGGTCAAAAGCACTTATCTGAGAGTGATTTCTAAGCCTGCTTACATAAAGCAATGTTATCAGCCTTTTTATTATTTATGGGCATGGGGCGATAGAGGACACCAAGAGACAAGCATTTCATGGAAAAGTTTTTGGGAGTCTCACGTTTGCTGGTGCCTGTCACAGGGACTAGTCTGAGGCGGGTCTCTCCTGTGATTCTGGGCTTTACAGGCACATCCCTTTGCTGAGCTCATCTGCCCATGGTGGGAGGGAGACTCTGGCTCGTCAGGCTTTCACAAGCCCGGGACTGCGGAAAAGTGAAAACCTGACCTTCATCTTCTCCAGGGACAATGTGCACAGCATTCTTTATTGCTCCAGGACTAGTGATACAATGTCAAAATGTGTTGGCTCCTGAAAACTTAAGTGCAAAACAGATCGGATCTTCCCCTCGTTCTCACTTTCTTGAAATAGGTTACCAGTCTTTGTGTCTCTAGGGCTCCATTTAGCCTATGGGCGGGGGTGTGGGAGTGCATGGTGCTTTGAGAACTGAAAGTTAAATGGTATCTCCTCTCACTGGTGGAGTGGGACCCACGGCTTAGAATCAGGAAACAGGAACCCAGGGCAAGTTATTCATGCCTTACCTGCTTCTCCAGAGTAATGCCTTCCTGACCCCCTCCCATCCTGTCCTCAGAACAAAAGGAATGGCTCTGAGGGGTTACCTGATGGGGAAAGTGTCTCTCCTAGCCTCTCGAGTGCCTTCAACCAAAAGAATGAGGTGGCCTTCTCTCCAGGGTCAGGCTGGGATGACAGGGATCAGCTGACGCTGCTCTGGTGTCATGCCATCTGTTTGCTCCCTAGAACAACAGACACTTTTAGTTTCTCAGTGACAGCTCAGGAGATCGAAGGTGTGGGTCTTTCCACCAGCAGAGATGTTTGCCATTGTCCCCTGAGACCCCTCGTCTCCTCTCTGAAACATCTGAAGTAGGATGGGACAAGCAAGGCACTGGGTCCTCAGTGCCACCTCTCCTTTGTCTAGAACTTGAGTGTCAGGCTCCAGGGGCTGGCAGCCTCTTCCTTTGATTTCCAGCACTGCTAAGTGTAGCTCCTTCAGAACACATTTCTGGCATCTGTATTGTGTACTCTACCCAGGAAGTACTCGGTAGGTCACCACGGACTGGCTAACAGTTCCAAACATAAATACATCTCTTTAAATAATTAAATGACCTTAGGTTTGCTTACAAGTCAAATCCCTCCCCTTGCTGACAGTGGGCTCAGAAATAGTGCTGCCTTCCTTGTGGCTGTGGGTGAACCTGCATGAATGATGTTCGCAGGAAATAGAACTCCGGAAGAACTCAGGGGACATACTAGGCAGTCCTAGGTCAAAGTGTGTATGTGTGGGTGTGTTTAATGAGAACTGTTTCTAGACATCCTGTGTCCCCCTTTTCAGCAGATTCACACACCCCCAACAGACACACACACACACACACACACACACACACACACACCAGCTGCCAGGAGCCAGGTGGAGTGAGTAGGGGGATGCCCCTGTTCCTGCTCACCGAGCCCAGGAGTTTCAGCCCCAGGCTTGAGCCAAAGGCAGTAAGTACCCTGTCCGTGCCACCTCCACGCAGCTCCAGGAAGCTGAGGACCGGCTCGGCCGCGGGAACCTCCTCCCTGCTAATAGCCATGGCTTAAAAGTTTTCCATCTTGAGCCACAATCAGCTTTCTTCCTCTGCATCTCTGGCCAAAGTCCACCGTCCCTGGGCCGCGCCTGCTCCCCATCGGAGGAGCAGCGTTTCCCTTCGGGCTGCCTGTTATCCTCTTAGCCCTACTGTGTTGGAATAGAGCATAAGCAGCTGGACGACTGTAAGACGCCTGATAATGCCGCTCTTTTCCGCTGTCCCGTCTTAATCTTGTTACACAAATGGTTGTGAAGAGATTCATGAATTTTAATTTTGCCCTCTGCATTAGTGCCTCACGTCACTCATACACAGCTGCCTTCTATGCCGAGTTTTTCACCCCTCCTATTTCAACAGGGGAAAAAATTAGTTACAATCTTGGCAGTAGTGCAAGGTAAAAAAAAAATCTACAGATTTAGGCAACCACCCATGAAGCTGATTAACAGTCAGCGATCAGGAGGAACAGCTTTTGCCTCTTAAACTTTTCACCTCTCATTGTTAACTGTGAAATTTTATTTCCGTTAAAAAGCAAGCCTGTAATCAAAACGGTGCCATTCTGCACTTTGTGCCCGTGCTTTTGTTAAGCCGTGCCCACACCGTGCAGCCGGCACGCTCAGGACCCGGGCAGCCAAAGGTGGCGCACGGCTTTACAATAGTGCCTTTCTGTTTGTCCGGGCAACAGGAAGGAGAAAATAAAATAAAATAAAACCCTTCCCTCTCTTCCCCAGTCCCTTCCTGGTCCCTCCAGTCTGAGACTCTAACATATTACCTCATGGTGTGGTGCAAACCTCTAAGATACAAGCTTGTTAAGGTAGCCAGCGGCTTGGCCAGGGAGAGCCTCCGGTTAGACTGAGCGCTCGCTTCAAATTAACTGAGGAAACCGCTGGAATATTCTTTCCACATAGAATTTTACAAACCACGAGTTTGGCTTTTGGTTTTAGACTTTGGCAAAATCCACTGGAGATTTTTTTCTCTACATTTTTGTACTTAGCCCGGGTGGGGCGAGGGGGGCAGAAGGAGAGAGAGAGAGAGAGAGAGAGAGAGAGAGAGAGAGAGAGAGAGAGAGAGAGAGAGAGCGTGAGCGGGGGAGTCGGTACATTGTGTGATGCACGGCCATATTGCACTTCTGTTTATCTATTCACAAGTGGCTGGTGCTTGTAATCTGCGTGGTGTGCTGTTGATAATTGTGGATACAGTAAAGGGTAAACAGTCTGAACTCCACTCCCGCTGCTGTTCCCGCGGTAGTAAGGCTGAGTGTGTTACATCCAATTATGAAGTAAAGCACAATGCTGCTAATACCAGCTCTATAATTCCGTGCAGTCCTCAAAGACCTGCTTTAACCTATGAAATTGAAAAATTGTTTTCGTCACAATTTGCTTTTTGTTCCTTTTTTTTTTCCAAGGTGCTTTCTTACTCTTTAAAATTATAATTATTAATTGAGCAAAGAAATGCAGCTTAGGTAAATGGAATTATTCTTAAGCCTTGCAACACTGCCCCCATCCAAGCCAGTATTTCCCAACAGCTTTGTGTGTGTTCAAGGACTCTCCTGTCACAGATTTGCTTGGTCCCGAGATAACTAGGTGGGTGTCACAGTACTGTTTGTGAAGTGGGGAGTTCCCCCCCCCCATCCTCAGTCTTCAGAAAGGCTCAGGAGAAGGACCAGGCTGGCCCCTTCCTGCAGCCAAACCTCTGCTTTGGCCTCCAGAGGTCAGCACAGAATTCAAGTTAAAAGTGATTCTTAGACCATATTTACAGAAGAATTGTTTATCCCATATGTTACCTCAGGGATTTTGTAAAGAGATCGTTTGAGGCTGTGCGTATTAGAACCTTGTCAGTGAGTAGGTCAGCTAACTCGCTCAGAGTACTCAGCTTTCCCTTATCCCCGGTCCCTGAGGAAAGACTTAGCTATCATGGCCCCCTCTCCGCTCCATGAAATGTTTCAATGCGCTGTTTCTGTTGCTAGGGCGATGCATGGCTGAGGTGTGTACAGTGAGCGGGCATGGACAGGGGAGTCAGTGAAGCCAGTTTCACGCACTCTGATAATGATGGCGATGACCGGTCCAGAGAGTGATGGACCCTGTTGATACTTGGGGGAAAACGGATTCTTCAGGTTCCATTCCAAGTAGACAGCTTGTGAGCCATACCAGTAGCCACGCCCCACCTGTTCTTAGCAAAGCAGCTTAGGGAGGAGGTGAAATTGGCTTTAGGTCCCTGCGGAAAAGGGAGGCTCTTGTTCTTAATGGTGAAGACTTATCACCATTTTGGAATAAGACTTAGAAGAGAGATGCAGGCGAACACCTCCCTAACAGGCCAGTCCAGCAGATACAGTAGTGGAACTATTCATGAGATATTCTAGAGTACGTAGGCAGTGCTGACTCATCGAGGCAGTAAAAGAATTGCTGTCCAGTAGAGTGAAAAGAAAGACTGATCTTCAGAAATTAAAGAAATACCAATTCATACTCTGTTGTGTAACAAACTAGCCAGATGTGTGACACAGCACACACCTTTGATCCCGGGACTCCGGGAGGCAGAGGCAGGTGGATCTCTGAGTCAAGGCCAGCCTGATCTACAGAGCAAGTTCCAGGACAGCCAGGGCCACACAGAGAAACCCTGTCTCAAAAAAACAAAAACAAACAACAAACAAACAAACAATAAATAAATAAATAAAGGAGAAAGAGAAAGAGAGAAACTACTATTTGCTAGAACAAATATACATGTGACTGTCAGATTCACTGTGGCCAAATGAGGGGGATAAAGTCTCTTCCCCGACATCTTCTAGAATGTGAGCTTAGCTATGAAGACTGGCTAGAATTTAAAATTATATCACAGAAGGTCCTCAGAAAGTCATCTTAGCACCACCGAGCACTGGTGTTCTATTGGAATATGTTCCTGGGAGTGGGGGTGGTGTCCGGAGTTCCTCATTGCAGCTGTCACCCACAAGGAGGACCTAGACAGCCTTTGAAATGCCAGGATGTTGCCATGGTCTCAACTCATCCAACATTCCTGCCTGCCTTGAGTGGTCGGTGCAGCACTGATTAGGGCAGCAAGAACCAGGGGGACGGAGAGACATGCCCAATGCTGTTCTGGGAAAGATGAAGGTAGCCCAGTTTTCCCTCAGGCATGGTGCAGTTTGGTACTTATAAAAACACCACTTAATCCTTGCCTAAAACAAAACAAACCCTCAGATTCCTGTTTTAATACCACCATCGTGTCGGTACTACCGACAGCTATGTTGAGTTGCTCTTATATGATTAATTTTTCCAGAATCAGGTATTTAGGTTAAAATTAATATTAATATCAATTTATAAAAATTTCTCGCTTGACTCTTTTTACTTTGTGTTTCTATTACTTTCAGTTGAAAAAAGAAAACTCAGACTTATATGAAGAAAACCTTCATTACCCCCTTCTGCTGATTTTAACCAAAATGGCATAGAAGACAGAGGAAAAAAAAATCAGATGCACGGGGAAATGATTTTCACAAGAAGAGAAGTCTACCACGGGTCCCCTGAGACTCAGGACCGCACCCACCTTTTCACATTCCACATCTCGGTTCTGTTACTCCACGCACCCTGGCACACATCACTCTTAGGTGGCCCTCCCCAGCTCTCTCCCCTTCCCTGCCTACGGTCAGCTTGTTGCTTTTCACCCCCAACCTTTGAGTGTTTTCCTATGTCAGCAGCCTGTCTGAGATCTTGTGAGCAGTCTAAATATTTTTCTCTCTAAAGCAGAATTTCTTTTGATGATTCCCATCTCCCTCTCCCCACCCCCATTCTTTTTTTTATTGTCTTTGTTCTGTTTGGTAATGGTGGTTTATCTGTAAATACAGAAAACATCACCTTTCTTTTCTGGTTAAATAAATAAATAAACTCCATCTCGTTCTGATGTCCCAGTTAATCGTTTCAATCTATCATCTTTTGCTCTCTCTCTCTCTCTCTCTCTCTCTCTCTCTCTCTCTCTCTCTCTCTCTCTCCCTGTCTCTCATTATTTTTTCTTTTCAAAGAGGATGGTTTTTCCCCCTATAGATGTATAAGAAATGACTACATCAGCCCAAAGCCTCATAAACTGACCGTTTGTCCTCTGGACACAATAGCGTGGCCAGCCCTCTGCTCCTCCTCCCCAATTATGTGTGATTAGTCTCAGTGTGCCGTGTCAAGGAGGGGGAGTGTGCGGAGTGCTTATTATCTGTTTAGGTACAAGAAGAGCACATTTAGGCTTTGACTATGAATGAAAAGTGAGCCTTTATCCGGGCTTAAATCTTAACTGCTGCTGTTCTCCGGGCCTCTTTCAAAATAGGTCTCTTCCAGAGAAATTTTGAATTAATGGTGGATAAACTAGATTGCAACCGGGGGAAGGGGGTGGTTTGAAGGGGGGGAAAAAAAGCAAAACTCAATCACATAATTATCTTATTTAAAATAAGTATATATTGTTAGTTTCTGAGCCTGGAGAGTGCAGTAAACATTTTGTGGACGCTACCCAGGATGTGTCTTTCTGAAGGGACCCCAGCCTGGCCTGCCTGGTGCTCACATGGAAGTGCTGTAATGCCTTTTGTGGAAATTCAGATATTTATCTGCAAGGAATCATCTGTGCCCACTTTGGCAGGAATGTCATTAGGTGGGTTAGCTGTGTGTCCTCGTATCTTTAGCAGAAGGAAAGTGTGTATTCGGTGTGATACAATTAAAGTGATAGGCGGGGCAGGGGGGCCTTGGGAGGCTCATCTTTTTGCATGTTAAGCAAACTTAGATGTTATAAAAATAGCGACTCTCAAATGTCTTCTCTACCCATTTCTATCATCAAACAAAAATCTCACCGTCAGTTTGCATGTCCCTGGATTCGCCGCTCTTTCTGCTCCATTAGAGCACCTAGACGGATCTCGGAAGGCACAGGTCAAGTTGCAGTTAGATCATACATTTCTTTCTCACAAAAACTTGAATTGCAATGCCAAGTGATGGGCTAACATCACAATAACAGCAATTTATTCCTCTTTGGATAAAACAGCAGTCTATTCTCAATGCTAGATAAAGACCAGGGCAATGCAAACCAACCATTTAGCTGAGTAGTTCAGCTGGTGGCAGCTCTCCTTTGGTGACTGTATGGGTTGCACACTGGCTTCATATTTTCTTGTTTAAAAAATTAGAATTTGGGATGGTTTTAAAAAGCAACATGAGTCATTCCACTCATACTGATGAAAATTCAGGGAGCATTATTTCTTAGGTAAAGCCTGCACTGAATCTGCCAGACAAAGGGCCTCTCTCCAGTGGCACCTATGACGATCTAACACTCCCCCCCCCCATTTTTTTTAAAGTATAGAACAGCAGGATCATGAAAACATTTCTTTTCTTTTCAATCAGAAAACTACAAAATCTGGCAGAAATTCAATTTGCATTTGTGTGTGGCAGATATACAAATGCGGTGCTCGGTTCCTTGGGAGAAGCTGGACTTTTTTCTACTTGTTTAAATCAAACTAGTGGTGTGTGTTCTAGAAATATCTGAGGACAGTGTATAAAAACTGAGCTATTCCTACTAAGAGATACTCAGAGAAGAATGTATAATCACAGTGTGATTGTAACCTCTAGGTCAACTTCCACAAGCTCGAGATTTCGTAGATACATTCTTTATGGAATCCTTACCTGACAGTAGCCTTGCGCTGAGTTCTCTCGAAGTTCATAAGAAAGCGATGTTCTGTAACTGACTATGTGAAAAGTGTTTTTAATCAACTTCCCATTTTAATGGAATGCAGATATTGAGAAGGGAAATAAGGCAACTCTAAAAAGTTCATCCATTTCTATTTCCTCGTGAACTTAGGATTATCTCTATGCATGAGCATTAGATTATATAGTTGCAATAGGAGTGGCCCGTTCTATAACTGTCTTCATAACTTATGCATGTGTTTGTTTCCAAAAGAAGCTGCCTTTCTGGGGTATCATAAGAATTAGGATATTATTCTGGGCCAGTGACATGGCTCAGCAGGTGCTTACAACCAAGCCAGACTACCTAAATCCAATCCCCAAGACCCAGATGGAAGAAAAAAAAGTCTTCTAAAAGCTGTCCTCTGACATCCATATGCACACTGTGACAACACACACGTCCTCCAATAAAAGATGTTGAAAACCAATGTTAAGAATTTTATATTCTTTTTTTATAGATTTTTAATTTTTTTTCTGCTAAAACTCATGACTTTCTTTTGTAGATACGGGTGTAAGAATGCACCTAATGCCGTCCACAGGCAGCTGTGACACCGTGATATGAACAGCCACGTCCAAGTTGGTTATGAGAAATATGTTTTATTTTACAGCAAGACATATGCAGTGAATTGGGATAAAAGTGCTCAGAAAGACTACCTTCGAGGTTGCTGCTATTTTGTATAAATTGTGTATTTTGTTGGCTTTTTGACTGAGGATGAAAATGTAACTTCCATTAGGGAAGGGTAATTTAGGTGCTCAGTATTCAGCAGAAAACTTGTCGGGGCCATAAAAGCTTTTCTGGCTGGTTCCTCGGGTGTTTTCAGAGAAGAGCTGCCCGCCCCTTGCTGATTTTCCCTTTGGCTTCGGTCTAGGCTGAATTTACCACTGCATACCTGTTGAATCAGTTTGGGGGCTCCAGCAGTTAACTGAGCCAAAGGAGGGATTAGTGACCTTTCTGGAGGCCAGTTCCAGCAGCCAGGTGTCTGTTCTAACTAGTTAAGTGCCCTGACAGTTGAAGAACCTGGTTAATGCAATTGGTGAGAGATGGGAGCTGGGTTTTTTTTTTTAATTTTATTTTTTTTTTATTTCCTTCTCCCCACTACCAAAGTAAAGCGCACCTTTTCCTCAGGGATGGGTACTGTTGTTTTGTTTTGATAAGAATGGGTTGTCTCCTTCTTTCAACTCAGCTTTTATAAAATTATGGCTTTGTGCTTAGTCAGCACTTGATTTGGTTCTGATAAATGCCAGACAATTGGGAAACATTGTCTGGCAATGCCTTTCATTGGACTTGGGGGGAGGGGCAGGATGCTCACATGGTCAATAGAGTCCCAATGAACACATGCATACCTACCACGCACTTGCTGGGATGATGAGGCCGGCTGGCCCAGGTCCTGGATCTAACATTCTCCTCCATGGACCTAACTGTCCTGTCTTCGGACTGCAGAAATATCATAATCACATTGACTATGTCTTGCAGAAAAAGCGTGGTTTGAAAGGCAAACTGACTTTAGTCAGAGCAAACCTGTTTTCCTGCGTGGACTATTTCCAAGTTAGTAAGGAGCCCAGCCCACAAATATCTGACCAAGCATCAGGCCTGAGAGGCCACTTTGAATTCTCAGATTCCATTTTATCCAGATTGCCTGCTGCCCAGGCTGTGGCTGAAGGCTTTCTGTGTATCCTGCTGAGGAAGTCTGTGCATTTGGAGTCTGGATTTATCTATTTTTTTGTCTCCCTGACTTTTCAATTAATACATTTTTTAATAGACAAAACAGATCATAATGTGACTTTTCAAATGTCAGCCAGCTTGCAAACAGAAACGTAATAAAACGGCTAATAGGAGATTCAATAGTTAATGGAGGGCCTGAAGTGTGAGCAAATACAGTAGCTGCAGAGTGGAAAGTGTGCAAGTGAAGATGGTTTTAGTGTTGCAAACTGAGAAAGAAAATTGTTTTTAATTAGCACCTTCCTAAGAACTGCTGATTAATACTGTTTTGTTTGGCGGAAAGCTTTCAGCTGAGTAATTTGTGCAGCCATTACAACAGTTTTGTTAGAGCGGGACTCCTGTTGTTAAACACAAACAGCGGATGATAATGGTGGAAGATGAGTTTGTCATGTAACAATTTACCTTATTGAAAAAGCTTTATATAAAACCTAATACAGTAGGTACCAGCAGAAATCACATATTTTAAATCCTTCCAAAATTGCAGTGTGCCATGCTTGTAGCTCTTTTTTTTTTACCCCCAGAGACCAGAAGCAGATTTTATATCATTTATAAAATTATATACACAATTTAAAGGTAGCATGGACAGGCCACTTTCTCCACAGCAGTTTACATAGGAGCGGTAAAGTGGCCGTGTATTCAAACACTCTCTAACTATACAAAGCGGGGTGACAAATGGAAGCCTAATTAAATAATGTTACTCAGATGTAAATTTGCATTGGGCTTGGATGCAGGGAAATAAGAACTGGTGGTTTTGCTTGGGGTGGGCTCTTCACACGTGGGATTAAAAAAAAAACACTTCGAGTTTAATTAACCTTTTGTTTTCCTTCTGGCACTGTTTTAACCAGTCAGAATAAACAGGACCCAGTCAGTAGCAGACTTGACCAGGGAATGAGACTGATTTCAGGGAACTACAAGAGAATGTTTCACTAGCCAGCAGCACACATGGGAAACTTGGAAGATAAATAAAATGTAATGGTAAAGCATATTTGCATTAAAATATTACACGACCCAAGACTGGTAAGAACTGTAAATTATTGGAGTGGCGTAATAGAGCATGAGTTGCGGTTTTTTTTTTTTTTTTAAGACAGGCCTTCGGGGTAATAACCAGGGTTGAGGCTCACGACAGTGCCAAATAAGCTTTAGACAGCATAATAGTCTGCAAAGAAAGCCACAGAGCACTAATGTGAGGGAAGAGCTGTCCACCACATGCAGCAAAAATCACCAAAGGTCATTTTATGGTAGCAATTGTGACATAAAATTGGTGGTCATGCTACATGTCTAATACTCAACCCAGCTTCATAAATGATGGGCCCCTAGCGATGGCTGTCATTAAGGGCTTTCATCATAATAAACTTTAAACTGTTGGCTTTATGAATCGCCAGCTAGCTTCAGCTGGTCGTTGGATGGAGCTTGCAGCGCCTTAAGTGTGACAAGACCTATTAGGAATTGCAACCATGTTTCAAGCGT